CCCGAACTTCTCTCTAATAGAGCCGATTCTTTGTGAAGTAGTTTTCAGAGGAGGTCGTGGAAACTTAAAACCAGGACCGGGCGATTATATGATCGGGATAAATTTCAGTCCGATCACGTTGATCGGCTGTGAGCTTATTTACCCGATCAAACATGGCGAAAATGTGCATTACAACAGCCAATCAGAGTCGAGCTTTTCCTGCTCACTTCTGTAGAGAAGTAAACAGAGTAACATCGGAGCTGAGGGCACTAAAACAGATGTCAGTCATGACTTTGAGTCATCCTCCGAACATGTTATTGTTGAGAAGAAAAGTTTTTTAAAGTCTTATTTAATATTTATTTATTTATTAGTTTTAAGTACAGATGCTTTAAAACTGGCAGTTAAAAAAATTGGGACAATAATCGAGATCGGCTGATATGACAAAATATATCGTGATCATCTTTTTGGCCAAATTGCCCAGGCCTACTGAAAAACCAAAAAAGAGGGTCTGATGACTAAAATATTCTTAAAAAATGACAAGAAGGAAAATGGAGTTTGAAATATTTCCCAAAGTCTTCTTAATTTAACTTTTAATGAACTTCAGAGTTTCTTATTTCTGAACTTTGGTTTGTGTTGGAAAAAGAGAAATCCTTTAAAACACTCTGCAACCAATCACAGTGCGCGCAAACATATACGTTTTAAAACGGGAGTATCACGTTTTGTTTTGTTTTACAACTTAATTTAATTAATTTTATTTTTCAAACTAGAAATCACTTAAAGTTTTGCGTCCGTTTATAAAAACAAACAGAGAAATAAAATATTGTCATCTTTATTGAAATAAATCTGCAGACCGGCTGCACGCGCTCAAAGAGGCTCCCATGATTGGTTTGATTTGAAAATCCATCAATCAGAAGTCCTCATTAAAATTATTCAATAAAGAGAAACAACATCAGACTGTGGAGGAGGAAGGTTCCTGACTTCAGACACTGAGACTGTAATGCGCAGGTTCTGCCTCCAGGAGGCGCTGTTTCTCTTTAACAGGTTATGCTGCATCATTTTCAAACTCAATCCCACAAACATTTGAGTTAAAACTCGTTTTAGTGCTAAAAATCCAACAAAATCAAACAAAATCAAACAAAAACAGATTTAAAACTCTGAGGAGAGAGAGGATCTACTCTGATGTTGGTTTGAGTTAAAGTGAAAATAGTTTCAGTCTAAAAGAGTCCAAACCTGAGGAGAGCTTCGGTGAAAATGTCCTTCAGAGACACTTTTCACTTTGAGACTGAGAGGAGACATTTCAGACCAAACTTTCAGATTCAGATTCAGAAAACTTTATTTATCCCCTAAGGTCACTTCTGTTCACAGTTATCCTGTCGTTTGTTCGTCCAAACACACAAATCAGCAGACAAACAATCCAGACAAGTGAGAGACGTTAACAGCAGCCAGTAGACAAACACATTTCCCTGTCAGTACTCACAGATAAGCAGGATCAGCAATAAACAGCTAAATAAGTACAAAAGCAGTCAAGTTCCACAGAGCAAAGGTTAAAATACAATAAGATCCACAATATGAGACACAAGATAAGAAATAAAACAAATAAAACAAATGATACACTCCTGAAGCTCAAACATCGACTGTTCTTAGTTTTCACCTGACTCAGGTTTTTCTCTGCTATCGTTACTTTATCTTTACTAAAAAAAATCCACTCCTGCACTCCTACAGGATTTTCTGTGAAAGGCCAATAGTGCAAAAAAACCAACAACTTCACTTAAAATCAGACAAATACACCAGCAACCACAAAAACCTGTAAATCACAAATAACCAGAAATGCTTAAAAATGAAAAAGTTCTACTAGACGAATAAAGACGAATAAACAGCAGGAGTTTAACTAAAAAAACAGCCTCAGAAGAAGATCATAAACTCTGTACAGTGACTGTTTCTCCATTAAATCTCTGATACAACCTCCAATAATCTAACTCATCCAAAAGTATCTCTGAAAGCATCAGCAGAGACACATCTGTCCTGACAGAGTCCATCAAAGAAGTGAATAAAGAGGCTGAATTATTGTCGTGGTCAGAGGAACAAAAAACAGATCTGCTTTTTTTTACTGTGACGTCAAAATCCTGAAGAAAGACGAAGTCAGGACTCTCAGGACATAAACGACACAGTGAAGAAGTCAAAACTTTAACTACTGAGGGACTAGATGGTAAGTTTAGACAGACGCATGCATCAATCAGCAGCAGGATAGCAAGTCAAACCTGCGATCGGTGAAATGAGGATTATAATGATTGATTAACTGATCAGTTTAGATGGGTGACTTTCCTCTAAACATGTGATCTGATCTGCAGAGACTCTGACTCATCCATCTGAAGAGTGAGCGAACAAAAAAGAAATAAACACCAATGAAGAGTGAAATATGCAGCCATTAGAGCTGATATTATCGCTGTCTGAAAGTCTAAAACATGATCAATCATATTTATGGAAATGTTTGATAACTTGTAACCAGAACAAACCATTAACACGCTCAATAAACTGGATATTGATTACAGATCAAACTATCGGCTGATTTCCTGATACCAGAAACATCCCGCACACTCTGAGAGGAGTTTAATGTTTTTCTCCTCAGCATGTGAGGCCCAGATGGATGTCGGTCAGAAAACAGGATCTGCTGCACAGCTCTGCGGTCTGCGAACATGTGCGGCACAGATTAAACTTTAAGTCTTCGGTCATGTCACTTTCAGGATCGTCCGCCGCTGTAACTTCATGCTAATGAGTCAAATCTTTGTGTGAGCGAGCGCCGGCGGAGAAAACCTCAAACACTGGAGTGAAGTCCAGTCCTGCGGGGCCTCCAGGCAGACTCTTAAAAGGAGTTAAATTCCTGCACTGCAATATTTACATGTCTGAAAATGTGCTCACCGTGGTTCTGATTGAGAACCACAGACTGATTGATTGATAAAACTGCGACCGTCTGTCTCAGCTGTGCTTCAAAAAAACATCAAAAATACAAACTTCAGCCTCTGAAATGTTCCTACATTTTGCTGCAGGTGTGAATTCAAACAGATTCGTCTTTACTGTCGTTCCTCTGGACCAACTTCTCCAAGGAATCAACTTGAGATGATTTGTGAAGGAAGCAGGTCAAAGTCAGGAAAGATTTAGAGAAAAATCTCATTAAACTTCATTAAAGTCATGTTCACCAGGTGAGTCCAGATACATGTGTTCAAAAAACAGCCGTACTACAGGTCGACCAAAATCTACGATGTTACATCTGGACTCGTCAAGAGGATAAATCAGGTCTGAGTTTGAGTGACTTCATGTTTCTGGTGAATTCTGAGTGTGTGATTCTTCTTCTTCTTCCCCTCAGGGTTTAACCTCAGCGGGACGGGCGACACAAGACACACAACAACGACCTAAACCTCAGGACGGACACACAGATGTCTGCAGGAGTTCTGATGTTGAAATCCTGCAGTGAGGGCCAGAGTTAACGGGCCCCTACAGTCAAAATGTGTGTGTGTGTGTGTGTGTGTGTGGATAACAAGCTTCAGAGAGGAGCTGTCTGTGCTTTCAAAAGTGACATTACAGCGAATTCTCTTTATCTCTCCTACACACACACACACACACACACACACACAACCACACACGCACAAACGTGCACACCCTTTATTTCCCACTTTCCCTATAATTATAAACAGAAGAGTCGCCTTCACACACACACACGTGCACACACACATGCACGCACTTGTGCAAAGGGTGCCTCACCGCCACCGCCACCACCCATCTCCACCCCACGCTCGTATAACCCGTTACCATGACAACGGGGCCCCCGGAGTTGCTGTAAAGTTTTACAGCACCGAAAGAGACCCGAAACTCCCACCATGCCTCTGTCTTCTGTGTGTGTGTGTGTGTGTGTGTGTGTGTGTGTGAGTGTGTGTCACTGGCAGATGAAGAAGAAACAGCGTCCATGTCAGCACAGATTGTAATCTCTCCGTCTCTCCCTCTCAGAAGTTGTTTTCCATAAAAACGAGTCTCGGGGGAATTGAGGCATTTTTCATTAAATCGAGCCGCTGAGCGCATTAGCAGGATTGAAACATATTTATAGAGATGGATTTGCATTTCTGACAGTGCACACACACACACACACACACACACACACACACACACACACACACACACACACACACACACACACACACACACACAGCCCTGTGTGACCTTCGTGCGTCTGAAGGTGGAGGTCTCTCTGGATTAAATGTAATGTCACTGAGCGGATCGATACTCTGGCTCTGTCTGCAGACTGAACACAGTTTACTGCAGAGGGTCAGAGCGCGCCTGTCGGGGGGGTTTAACCCTTTCAATAACACCAGAACGAGCAGGAGATTATCAGCAGGTGTGCGCTCACCTGAAATCAAAACTGACCTGAATCTTTGACTGAAAATGTTGTTTCATCGAGTTGTTAGTCTGCCCAGATACCTGCAGATACTGTGCAATGATCAGACCCTTTCATTAAAGACGGGGAGAGAATCAAGACCAGGACTCATGCAAGGACGCTTGCATCTCTAGTTATACCAACTTTAGTAACAACCGCAGGATAGCAATACAGAGAGACACGCACTCAACCAAGCGGGGTGTTGCAGCTCAAGGAAGAACATTTATGCTCATTTCTTCATGGAAATACAATCAGACTGAGATGCTAAGACAGAAGAACTACCGCGTCTGTAAAATGATTAATATGGTGATTATTACTTCAAGGAAATGATAAAGAAATGATCATAAATGTTCTTCCTTGAGCTGCGGCACCCCGCTGTAGTCCATAATGGACTGGTCGAGGTCTTTGTACAAACAAGCGGCTGCTGGAAGAGAGTAGGTGAGTTGTGTTTAGTCTCTTTGCTAAAGAAATGAGTCAAGATGTTTGGTGTCTAGTACTATGTCTGTGACCCTAAATGTACTAACCTCAGTAGAACATAGTGTAGTTCCATTTAGTAACAGAACTTCATTGGAAAAATAGCTGATTTAACATTACTGTTCTCTTGTTCAAATATACTAACTCGACAGCACATAAATCTATACCTGTTAACAAAATCATGATTTTATTGATAATTCGGCTCAATAAAAACACCTTTACCTTTTCATTTTACTACAGTAGAAGTTTATTGGCCCAGCTTATAGACTACAGAGGTGGAGAAACGCCCCCGCTTAAGTTTATGTTTTCTTAGGAGTTAGAACAACTCTGAATATAGTACTATGTCTGTGACCCTATATGTCCTGTTGATGAAGTTAGGTGCTGTTCTGAGCATTATTTGTGGTTATAGAGTGGTGTTTTGGTTGAGTGCGTGGCTCTCTGTATTACTATCCTGCGGTCGTTACTAAAGTTGGTATAACTAGAGAAGTAAGCGGTCGGCAACATTCATCTCTGGAGGGGGGGTCTAACTCAGTGTGTTTGACCCTAAATTAATATTACGCCGGAATATCCCTTTAAGTCATTCACGTTAATATTAATTGAAAAGGGGAAGGCAAAAGTTACTAGCAGCAGCTTTAATTGTCAATAACTATTCACAGACACAGCTATACTAGACCTCTCTTTTTCTCCAACTCGGACCATGTTGCTATAAAAACTTATCACACATTCACACTTAACTTCAAACCTAAATGAAATATGGTTTCATCTCAATTTTAAAAGGGCACTTTTTTGATTAAAAGAGTAAAATTCAATTTTAAAGGTGATCTCTAAATCAAAACCACCAAATATTTGTGCGATCAATGATCCAATTGGTGAATAAAATGTCTCAGCAATAGAGTCGACTAACAAGAGAGTCACTGGCTGCAGACCTGCTTAAAATCACAACAGTATAACAGAAAGATGAACATCTACAGATCAAATATCAGGAGAAACAGAAGTCTTCACCCTCAGACATTAAACTAGCAGGGATTATCTCTACAATCCTCCATCATGGCCATAAATCCTGATGTTAGTGGACTTTCTAATCCTTAAGAACTTTTTGGTGCTCACCAACACACAGGAAGAAAACCAGGTTCTTATTTTCAAAGCCGCATTCTACCAAATGTCCAGGAGAGGGCGACTGTGCAGTCTGCAAAAAGCCAAAACATGCCATGCCAGTATGTAACAGCCTCTCAGAGGCACTGCTGAGTTAATATTGATGCATGTTTGTACTTGAATTAAAGCACTTATAGTTACCTCACACTGTTGACAAATTAATATCTGGCTCTGCAAGTTTAATGAGAAAATATAAACAGACAAAAACCAAGAAAACTAATTATCACAGCTGTTTTGACCACATGTTGTGAAGCTGCATTCTTCAAATGCATTTCTGCCAGAGCCAGATGTCTGTGATCGTGCACATGTGGTCTGTGTGAATATCAGAGTCCCATTAGCATGGATATTTCCTGCCGAGTAAATGTGAGGAGGAAAAAATCTGGATCAGGTCGTTCAGAGTTTGATGAGACATTCATGTTTGAGAACAGCTGGGAACAAAACACTGAAACGGTTTGATTTCTGACGATGGTTCGAGGTCAATTTAACTCGAGATGAAAACTGATAACTTCTGAATGTCACTCAAAAACCTCCTGAGATATTTTACTAAAGTATGGGGACAAACTTTATCATGTTAATAATCTGAGGGTTTGTCAGGACAGTCTTTAGAGACTGTTTAGATTTATGTTTCAGAGGTCTGTCCCTCCCACTGGATAGTCTCAGCAGGGCAGGTAAAGCGCAGGTAGAGTGGGGGACGGTCGGCAGAGGCATTAAAGAGGCTCAGGTGTGACAGGTGTGTTTGGTGGCATCACTGCAGGAGACCTCAGAGACATCAGTGGTGAGAAGATCCTAATTTAAATCAAATTAACAGTTAAAAGAACTCTCAGTGACTGAGAGGTTGAGAAATTTGAGTTTATTGATAATCTAAGCCCTGTGCATTTAAAATATGTTGAAACTAATATAGTTGTTTTCTAGTCGTTCTTAGTTGTTTAAATTTATGCAAGCCGTCACAGAGCGATAGATTTGATTTAAATCGACCCTAAAACTAAATATTAAGTTTCAGTTAAAATGAATTACATATTAAGTATTTAGCATAATTTAAAATAATTAAAAAATGTTAAAAAGGCAAATTTATTTTGAAATGAATTAGAATGATTTAAAATAATTAAAAAAAAAAGATAGTTTACACATTAATTTAATTTGTTTAATTCTTATATTTAATAACCCTTTTTTGAAATTAGTACTGGAGTTAATTTATTTGTGCCTATTTAATGACGGCCTCACTTCATTTATTTCCTTTGAGTTTATCAACCTGCTTCTGCACCGATTATCATCTACAATAAAAGAAAATCAAAGCGAGCCGAGTCGTCCACAGTGTCCTCTGTGGATCAGGCAATGATGCTGGAAAAAGGGGAAATTTACCTCGACAGGGTTTATTATTGTTAAAATGACCCAACACTCAAGTTTTTCACATAATCACAAATGATCTCAGAATGGTCAAACTGATCAATATATCTGCTTTTTTAATAATGTGCAACTTCCAACCTGGAAATTGGATGATTTAGTACCCACTTTTGTCCACTGGGTGGCAGTGTTGTACAGACAAAGACAACACCACAGATTAAAGAAAAAGTGATAACTTTGTAATGACTATAATATGAACAAAAACTGCTCTATTCTGGGTCAGTTTGAGACTTAAATATCTAAATTTATCATTTTTCAGGTCTGTCTAATCCGTCATGTTTCCTGTGAAGCACGAGCTCATTAAAGAGTATTCTGCATGTTAAGGTGACTGATTTCATGATGTCTGTCTGTATTTAAGAGGACATATTTGATAAATGTGTAATATTACCCGGACGTTATGACTATGACATCAGTGACTGTATTTAAAGTCACCTTTAATTGAAAAATCCTGATTGATGCGTTTCATGTGGAGTCATTTCTGAGCGGAGACGCTTCCAATCATTTAAATTTTAAGGTGACGCTCTTTGTCTGATCTCTTCACCATCAACATCTCACCCACTTCATTTCCGTCTCCCAGGATGCACCGGGCCCCAGCCTGCAGCTCTTTTACGGTTGTGTATTTCACCGGCTCTTTTACTACCACAGACACACAATTAAAGTCTGCTGAACACACGCTTGCTGCCCGTCAGCGGGCTGCGGATCCATAAAACGCGTCTTTCTGTGAAAAACGAGTGGCCCAGTCATCATGGAAAGGAAGAGGAGAGGCAGATAGAGAACCCAGAGTGATCAGGGTTTTATTCTGGGATCTATAAAGTCAGAGACCCCACAGCACCCCACCCCAAACTGGTCTCATTTGACCTTGAGACTGAGGCGAAGGGGAGCCTGGCTTCTAAAATATCACACCTGAAGGCCGGAGCAGGTATCAACCACAGACTGTACGAGTAAAGATGGTCTCCTCTGTGACCGACTGAGAAAGAGAGAGTGAGGGGTCAGTAACCAAAGCTACTCTGACTTTATCCTGTTTCCAAAAACACAAGATTGAAATTATGGTCTCACTTGATCAAAACCTCCAACAATGAAAGACAGAAACAGCAACAATCCTCCCACGATCTGACAGTTCACCTGTTCCCCTCAACATGACAACAAGAGGCTGTCACAGAGAAAACACACCTCAGCTCCAGCGTAGAGATGCAGCTCTCACAGCAGCTCTATACAGTGTTTGCACAGAATCATAAATGTTGGTTTCTTCTTTGGCTTAATGTGAACATGGTTTCTGCCTCAGGAGGGCACTCCAGGAGTTTTTGACATCTCCACATCAGCATCTCTTTTCTAGTTTACGCTCCATTCTTACAAGAATTAAAGATACTGTCATGATCTATCCTAAACTCTGGTGTCCGTCTCTTTTTCTAACCCCCTGACTCCAGATGCCCCTCTAGATGTCAGTGTGTTAATGTAGTTAAAAAGCCTACACAGCCAAGCTACTGAACACAAAGTTTATTTATTAACAAAGTTAAACTACGCAGTATTTCATTTAATATTATTTCATTTACTCTATTTCCAATGATCAATGTTTAAAACATTCAATACTAAGTCCGGCTCGAGGTAAGTTTTGTTGCCCTTAAACTTCAGCAGTAGCTTTACCAAAGGTATGCAGAAAAAAAGGCATAAAAAGATAAAACAAGCAAACAAAAAAAAGGAAAAAAAAAAAAAAAGAAAAAACAAGCAAAAAAAGCAAAAAAAAAACCTTTAGCAGTAGCTTTCCCAAAGGTATGCAGGTTTTTTTCTCTTTTCATAATGGTATTTTTATTTAAATTAATAAGTGCAAACAAGGTAAATTGTTTTTGCGTAATTTTAACATGAACAATAGTACTGAAAAAGATAAACGGTATAAAAAAACAAGTAAAAAAAGCAAAAAATAAATAAATAAATATATAAAAGCAATAAAACCCTACCAGAGGCATGAAACCCCAGACAACACAGCTCCTGGGATCACTGGGACACACAAACCCCTCACATACACAATCACTGTACACAACTACAGATCACATGTTACAGATGCACAAACTTTTTACACCAAAAATACCTTCATAATGAAGCAAATAGTTGATATGAGACTTTGACACAGGAATACTGCAAAAGTACACAGTAGAAGTACTTGATAGTAACAGGACATGTTGTCTGAAGTATTCTGTCTAATAGTCCAGGTGACTCGAACCACTAATATCAGGAAAGTTGTTTTTATTTTCTTATTGCTCCCCCCTCAATTTACAGCTCCATATCAATGCCTTTACCATAAGCATTCTAATACAGGTGCACCCCAAACTGAGAGCCCGCTAGCTTGACTGCAGTGTGAGAGCCTGGTGGTTGGGGCCTGCACCCATGGGGCCCGGCCGGGCACAGTCCTAAGAGGCAAGATAGAACCAGCTTCCCATGGGCTCACCACCCATAAGAGGGGCCACCAAACCAAACCTTGCTCAGGGCCACCAAAATCCACCAGCCGGCCCTGAAAGCACCGGGATTTCTCTGACAACATTACTGATATGATGTAAATTCATTATCATGTCATGATAAAGTTCTTCTCATCTTAATATATCGATGGTTCTGCTGGTGGGTTACTGACTGCGGACATCTCGCGCCAAAAAAGCGCTCACACTGAGAACGCGCTCACTCAGAGGCCTACACACTCAGACCCCACAAACATTCACATAAATCAACCAAAAATCATCCCCATCATCCTCCTTTCCTTCAAACTTCCCTCAGCCAGCCCTGCAGAGTTCACATTTCTGATTTCATTCACTCAGACATTCACACAAACCGCTTCAAACCGCTCTTACCTGGAGTTTGTTCAGGTGAGCTGCGTCCCCGCCGCTCCGCTCCGCTTCGAGCGCAAACATTTGGACTGACGAAACCGGAACAGAGGATTTCCGCCATTTAAATAGGTCACGTGAACAGCGGCGTTCATAATTTAGGTTTTTTTGTCACTTAAAGCCAAAAAACAGAATTTGTTATTTAGAAAAAAGCGATAATCGATGTTTGTGTGGATTTGGGGTGAAGAAACTTTGATTGGCTCAATATGGAAGAGATTTTGTATTTTGGGGTTTCTTACATAATCATAAGGCCCAGTGGGAGGAGCTACAGGTATAATAAGGTGTCTACAGTTCTTCTGTAAAGTCATTCTGCAGCTGGACTCGGACAAGGTAAGACTGGAGATGTTGTGTTCGCACTTTCACTCAGTTTATCGGTGATCGGTTTATATTTCTCTGCCGATCGGATCATTCTCATCAGTTCAAATGTGCACTAAAATGAAGAAAAACAAACAAACTTAACAAACTAATGAAAAAGGACAAAGTTTGGTCTGATCTGTTCTGAGAAAATTCGCCCAAATCTTGAGTTTGTTCCTGAAACAGCCCGATAAACCGCCCCGATCAGTCTGCTCCGGTTTCTGCGTGTTTCATATCAAACATTCAGTCGGTGGTGAAGCAGCAGGAGATGTTTTGGCACATTTCCCTCAAAGTTAAACACACACACTCCTCTAATTATAAAACACAATCTGCAAAGGTGAGCTGTTTACCAAATTACGCACGAGGTTTTCCATGAACGGATTTGTGCAACAGATGAGACGATAATCCGGAGATAATTCAACAAAAACAAACAACCTCAGATGACCTGTTCGCGTTAGTCTGTCACTATCACTGCTCCTGGTTTCTGTGCGGTTTCTGCACCTTCTCTGGAAACTTTTGCGCCTCTTTTTTTAAGTGCAGTTCACTCACGGAGCCGCTGAATGGCGAGAGAGAGCTGAATATGCGAGAGTTAAAGTGGCTCCGTTTTCTCCCTTCAGTCCTCTCAGCTTAAATCATATTTTAACGCGTTAATACCTCTTCGTTTTACTGCGCAGTTTCTGTCCGAATGACCCAGAATTTAATCCAGAATAATTCTGATCCACAGAGAGACACACAGTGGATTATTTTGAACACCTGAGAGGTGCTCCTCTCACACCTGTAAACCCACGTCACATGCAGATGTCTGCTGTTGTTGCTCTTCTACTGTGACTTACACTTGTGTTTGATTTGTGTGTTGGTTTTTGGTCAGTTTTGATTTATTTTTCATGTGTTTGTAAAGTGGAAGAATTCAGACTATCAGTCCAACAATTGAACAATACGAGGTAAAAACACAAGTGAACAGAAGTCAAAGCATTATCATGAATTAGTAATTGAACCAGGTAAATAAAGTGTCTGCAAGCTCAAGAAACATATTTTTTTTAATCTGAGGAAATATTTCTGATCATGATTTAGTTTCTAAAATCCTCTGACTGCTTTCATTGTTGTTATGCCATAAATGTACTTTTTCCTTACTCTTGATTTGAACAAAAATATGACTGAAGTTTTTCTTCACGTGTAACCATTAACCTCTTTAAACTGCAGCCAAGATTCAAGCCGATGAAGAAATGGACACCAAATCCACCTTTTACCTGAGGTAGTATGTAAGAATATGTCCAGATCTTGGTCTGATCATGTCCCTCTTTTCATAGGAATCCAGACCCTGGTGTCCTGAGGAGCCAAAGATGGAGCCAACGACCACAAACAAGTCGGACCACGGCGTGCAGAGGTTGGTGACGGTGTGGGACTGTTGGCAGGAGGACAGAGGTGAGTCATACTCAGCCATCAAAATGTCTCAAGACATTTTTATACATCAAGGCATCTTAAGACAACTTAAGACAAAAGTTTGAAGACATCACCATATCTTAAGACATCCCAGAGCAGAAAGTAGGATTCACCCTGACATATTTTTGTGTCTGAAGACATCTTAAGACACACTTGCTTTGTCTTTAGACATCCACATCTTCAGACGGTTTCAGACCTAGTCTGCATGTCTCAAAGACATGGTCAAGTTATCTTGTTTCAGCTGGAGTATTATGATGATAATGTTCTGGTAATGGTCGATTTATATTTTGCTTTAAAATCTGTTTTAACTTTAATCGCGTGTTAAATGATTATAATGAAAATAACTTGCGGTAATTTCAATCTGTTGAAAGCCCTGCGTAACGGAGTTAAAAACAAAAATACCTGATCTTAAAAATGCTAAAAGCTAAAAATGCTAAAAATGATTTTATTTCTGAATGAATTTCTTCATGGAAATACAATCAGACCGAGACGCTAAGACAGAAGAACTACTGCGTCTGTAAAATGATTAATATGGTGATTATTACTTCAGTGATCAAGAAATGATCATAAATGTTCTTCCTTGAGCTGCGGCACCCCGCTGTAGTCCGTAATGGACTGGCCTGAGGTCTCGCTACAAACAAGCGGCTGCTGGAAGAGAGTAGGTGAGTTGTGTTTAGTCTCTTTGCTAAAGAAATTAGTCAAAGTTAAAAAGATGTTTGGTGTCTAGTACTATGTCTGTGACCCTATATGTCCTGTTGATGAAGTTAGGTGCTGTTCTGAGCATTATTTGTGGCTATAGAGTGGCGTTTTGGTTGAGCGTGTGGCTCATTAATGTTCAAATGCAAATGAATGGCTGTGGAACTTTTTGCACATAAGCTCGAAGTCAGTTCTGGTTCTGACTGAAGATTCGGATCCTCGGTGGGTCTGAGTGTCAGTCAGGACCTCCCAGGTTCCCTCTGCAGAGCTCTAACTGTCGTTTCCACCGTGAATTTCTGACTCTCAGTATTTCGTGTTTTTGTGCAGAGAATGACAGAGAGCTCAAGGTTTGTTTTGTTTGTGCAAATGTGAGCAAATAAAATCAGGGAATAGAGAGAGTAAAGTGAGCTGAGATTTTTTAGCCCCTCATGACAAATCCTGACTGTTCTTGTCGTTTCTGCAGGACGACACAAAGAGAAAAAGGGTATTATCATATTTAAGGTTAAAGATGTTTTAAAGATTATGTGTATTTTGAAGATTCACAGCCACACCTGCATCTTCTTCAGTTCGGTGTTATTTACTCAAACTAGATTTTTTATTATCTCCATCCTGTCGACCTCAAGAAACCTCAAGATTCAGATTTAAACTCTGGAAACAGATCAGAATATTCATGAATGAAACTCTGGAATGAAACACACACACACACACACACACACACACACACACACACACACACACACACACACACACACACGCACACACACAGGTGTTAATGAACCACCCAGGTGGAGATCTTCTCGTCTTTTAACGGTTTTATAGGAGCAACAACATGGCGGTCAGAGCAGGAAGTGACTCAGAGGTCAGCTGATCCCGCAAACATCTGCTTCTTATCACCATGCCAACACTGAGTGTATGTGAGTGTGTGTGTGTCTGTGTGCGTCTCTTTGTGTGTGCTGAACATGAACTTGAGACGTTGTAAATGTGACTCTTATTCATACGGCCGACAGCGTTACATAACGACAGAGTTCACCTCTTTATGGACGTGATTCACAATATTTAAAAATCATCATCAAATAAAGAATCTCAGGGTAAAACGGTCAGAGACTCGACTTGGTGAACATTATAAACAGGTAAAGTTAGAAAAAATAAAGCGTTTTTGGAGACTTTTGTGACGAGACAGCGAGGGTCGAACCTGTGACCGTTACAGCTTTAACAGTGAGGCGAACGAGTTTGGAGAAATTTAAAGATTTAACACCATGATGTTAAAAAAAACACCTGAATCTGAGTTTATCTGATTACATGAGTTAGAGGAAAACATGCATGTGAATAAAGATGAAAAATAATGTGCAGAAAGTCAGAGTTACGTTACAGCTAAACTGTCGACTCAGTTTCTGCTTTTGAGGAATATTCTACAGCTTAGTGATCCAGTGAGATCCAGTTTGACAGTAAATAACCGTTAATTTAGAGGTTTTATCGGTGGAGTTAGCACAGAGACAGGACCAGAGATAACATGAAGAGACAGCTCCAGGTCACATTTGTAGAAACAGGGATGTTCAGAGATATTTAGCGGTCCAGTTCTTCCTGAAAACGCTCCCTTGCTCACTCCTCCTGTTAGTGAGGCGTCGATTAGTAAAAATTGAAAATTAAAAAAGAGTTTTCCTTCACTCTCGCACTTTTTCAGACCGTCCTCTCTGTCATAAAACATAAACATTTCAGTACTTTAGCACCTTAAATTTCTGTTTATTTATCATCCCATCTGTATATTTAACATTTCATATTTATGACTCATTTCAAAAGGCCACGTTTTTTATATCTCACCTTTTTCTCTGAGGATGTTTAATATATTTAGTCTGTATTTATTGTATATATTTAGTATTTTTAGTCTGCATTGTAGATACTTGTTATATTTAATGTTATTTTGCTGCTGCAACATGAGAATTTCCCAGTTTGGGATCAATACAGTCTATCTATCTATCTATCTATCTATCTATCTATCTATCTATCTATCTATCTATCTATCTATCTATCTATCTATCTATCTATCTATCTATCTATCTATCTATCTATCTATCTATCTATCTATCTATCTATCTATCTATCTATCTATCTATCTATCTATCTATCTATCTATCTATCTATCTATCTATCTATCTATCTATCTATCTATCTATCTATCTATCTATCTATCTATCTATCTATCTATCTATCTATCTATCTATCTATCTATCTATCTATCTATCTATCTATCTATCTATCTATCTATCTATCTATCTATCTATCTATCTATCTATCTATCTATCTATCTATCTATCTATCTATCTATCTATCTATCTATCTATCTATCTATCTATCTATCTATCTATCTATCTATCTATCTATCTATCTATCTATCTATCTATCTATCTATCTATCTATCTATCTATCTATCTATCTATCTATCTATCTATCTATCTATCTATCTATCTATCTATCTATCTATCTATCTATCTATCTATCTATCTATCTATCTATCTATCTATCTATCTATCTATCTATCTATCTATCTATCTATCTATCTATCTATCTATCTATCTATCTATCTATCTATCTATCTATCTATCTATCTATCTATCTATCTATCTATCTATCTATCTATCTGGTCTGCACAAGGACAAAAAGTTCATTCTGCAGATGATGAACATCTTCACCTGCAATCACAGAAATTCACTCTAAATCCGTCATTCCTCCTCTCCTCCTCCTCCTCCTCCTCCTCCTCCTCCTCCTCCTCTTCCTCTTCCTCTTCCTCCTCCTCTTCCTCTCTTCCTCCAGTATCTTGTGTTTGCGTCTGTAAAGCGCTTTAGTAGTTTTGTAAATGATGGAGAAGTGGAGTAGGGGATCTTCAGTCGGCACCACCTCAGTCGGACCGGGTCTTGTTGTTTTCTTCCTGTGTGATCCAAACAAACACATCTGTTTTCTATCACTGAGCAAACGAGTAAATTAACCTGAAAATCAGCCGTAATTAGAGCGTCCTCGGTGCTAATGAGCAGCTCGTTTCATGATGAGGCTAATAACGTCCAACGGGAGTGGATGTAAATGAGGGAGAAAATCCGACAAACAGCTCCACGCGCTCTTTTATAAGGTTAACGCCGCTGTACCTACGTGTCTGTTAATTACACACGAGCGAGGTTCGGTCGTTTAAGAGCTGCAGGAAGTCAAAGTGAGGCTGGATCTGTTTGGAGAGGAGGAGGTTTTCTGTTGGCTGCAGACAGGAGAGAGTGAGTGTGTCAGTGTTTTGAAAAGTTCAGTGTGGATTTCAGGCGCGGCAGAAAAACATGAGAATGAATCTGATGTGACTCTCTGAGACGAGGACTGAAAGATGAAGTATTTGAGATTTAGTTTGCTATGTTGTCGTGTTTTTGGATATTTGTTTTGGCTGAGAGAGACATTCAGCAGAGAGCGGAGGGATGGATGCCGAGTTGGAGACTCTGAAGGTGTCTTAGAGGTCACATGTCTTTGAAAATTTGTCTAGATTTAGGAAGCACCATGTTTTGACCTTTGGAGTGACTGTAAAAAAATGATAAAAAATGAGTGAATTTTAATGCTTATTCAAAATATAAAGATATAAATAAAACTTTTCTGCAAATTTGAGGAAAACTGTAGAAATTAAAATGAAATAAAGACACAAAGAAAATCCTGTCGGGGCTTCAAAAATATGAAAAACACAGAAACAGGTTAAGATGAGGAGAAACTTGAAAATCTAAAACGGCCTGTTAGAGTGAAGGAAGTTTGAGTCACGGCGCAAAAGTCGAGGAGTGAAGATATCCAGGAACTCTGAAGGTTTTTCCATCCTTATAATCCTGCAGAGAGAAACCGAGCCTGACCCAGTTTTGAGGTTTTACGGTTCCCCTCAGTGAGACCGACTCTGTTTGAACTTCAGACGTGACTGAGAAGGTTGAATTTTCCAGGACTCTGTTTTACAATCATTACAGCCTAAATGATCTAAAAACTGTTCCTTCAGATTCTCTATTAACAGACAGCTTTATATATATATATATTTGCATGTTCAGCAGCAAAAATAACAGATTTTTAAATCACTAGTTTAATCACTTACTTTTGCTGCATGAGGTTTTTTCTGCAATATGTCATTTTTCTGAATTAAAGGGACATTTTTTTTTGTATTTATTTTATTTTTTTCTAATTTTTTCAGACAATTTTATTTTCAGTTTTAGATCCATTTATACATATATGCAAAATGTACAAAACAAACAAACAAAAAAGTCAATATACCTACAGGATACAGACAAAACTTCTCAAGTAACCCCCCCTCCCAAAAAAACAAAAACAAACAAAAAATTATATTTTCTGTCGGTTTTTACAGGATTTTAACTTTTCGTAGTTGGAGTTTTACTTTTAGTGATGATGTGGATCTTTTTTTTTTTAAAAAGTAGGGCTGATTGATTCCTTAAATTTGTTAGAAATGTTTTGATTTTAAGTTTCTTCATTTATTTTTTAACACTCATAAATACACGAGCAGAAAAAACAGTTGGGTAACTCAAACAGAGGTTCGTCTCTTTGGGAAGAATAAATAAATCTCAGCTCCTGTAACCACACGCTTTATTTAAAGTATTGATTATGAATTAGAAACCTAAACATCTTGATTTTTCAGTACCCATCATTATTTGTTTTCTCCTCTTTCTTCAGAGACTCGGACTTTTCTGACCGTTTGCTCGTCTGAAAGGTCAAGGTCAGGCAAGGTCAACTCGTCTTCTGTCGCTAAAAACTCAAACTGAACATTATCTATTTGATCAGATTTAGTAAAGAGATAAAAATCACATTAAATCTGACATGCAGTGATTAAAAAATCTGAATTTTAGGACTTTTTTATAGGAAATGTGACAAGGTAATACTAAGACTAACCCTAATTTTATGTGATTAAAGGTCGGGTTCGAGAGTCTTCTGTTTCAGTCTTAATGGTGGAGATGTAGTAATATCCTGTTAATTAAATATTTAAACTATAGCAGGTCGTCTGAGTTTAAAACTTTACCTGCTTTTGACTCTTTTTTGGAGGGTCGTCGTGCAGAATCTGGTATTTTCTCCTGATTGTCAGCGGTTAGTTAAAAAACAGGGATGATGATGATGATGATGG